GCCAGATGTTTTGTGTTTTTTTAAACAATTATTTTTTATTTAATTCCACTTGTTATGATAATGTTTACATTTTACCAAACAGAGACAGAGAGAGAGAAATGGAAAGCAAGAAAGCAAGCCTCCAAGTCTGGGACTCGGACCACTATGGGTCATGTGGGAGTTCAGCACCTTTAACCACCACACCACCTGCCAGCCCCCTAAAAGGAGCCAGATTTTAAGAACAAGAGACTCACAGCAACTAATAGAAAGGGTGTCAGTGGCTCTGTCACACAGAGGGTGTCTTTCATTGTAGTCATCCCTCCCTTGTTTTGAAAGTAAATGGGTAGGCAACCAGCAGTTAGCGTACTGGCTATGTCGCTGGACTCCCACGTAGTCGACCGCGGTTCGTGTCCCGGACCCGGTGGCTTAAAACTCACGCCGGTTGCGTGTGCGTGCGTGCCCAAGATCCCGAGAGGAGAATGGAGGAGAAGGGATTGCGGCGTGACCATCCCCCCTGGGGGGTGATTTCTCGCTTTCTGTCTCTATGTCTCCCTCTGTCTGTCTGGCGAGCGCACGTGCCCTATAGTGAAAAAAAAACCTCTCAAAAAAAAAAAAGAAAGTAAATGGGTATAAATAAACACATATTTTTAAAAAAAGTATGGCAAGACTCATTTACACTAACTCTTCACATGCTTGTTGAAGGTGGCTGGGAACACCCTGTTAACTGTACTCACCAGCTTAATTACCTAAACAATGCCCCAGGGCCTTTGGAGACAAGGAGCAATTTGTAATTACTAGCAATTAGTTTGACACACCCAAGACCCCTGCATTCTCATTCTGAAAAAGAAAACAGCACACCATAAAGAATAGAAACCTCCTACTGGGGAAAAAAAAAGCCGTTTATGCTCTGATGACTTGATTCAATGCCCACAGTAGGTAAGGCTGAAAATAGTATTACAGGGTATTACAGGACCCGCTCCATGGTTAAGGGAAAACCAGATCCCATAAGGCCGATCACACGGTTCGAATCCCTCCCTGTCTGGTCAACTTGAAAACTACACCAGGCATGTGTGCATGCATGGCTCACATCCTGAAGGGATGGAGAAATGGCCGAGAAGGGGTTGCAGCCTGACCAAGCCCCACTGAGGGTGCTTTCTCCCACTTTTTCTCTCTGGCAAGTGCACATGCACTCTGACAGATTTAAAAAAAAAAAAGAAAGAAACAAGAGTGCCACAATGTAAAAGCCACGTGTTCCTTAGACTTGACCATACTTCACTGTTGTTCTTGTTCATTTGTTTAGAGACAAAAGTTGCCTGGCCTGGCCTCCAGTTCCGGGGCTCTTGCCTCAGCGTCTGGAGTAGCTGGGCTTCCAGGCATAATGCGCCCGAGAGGTGCTTATTCTTATCTTGGGAAGTGGCAGTTCTGGAGGCTGGCGCCGTGCCTGGTGGTTAGGGCAGTTAGGTCCCGCATGGGCAACTGCTTGGTTTGAGTCTCGGACCCAGTGACTTGAGAAACAAGCTGGGTGAGGGCGTGGTGGAGAAGGGCTTGCGGCATGACCACCCCTCATGTGGGGGTGCTTTCTCCTCTCCCTCTTTCTCTCATTTTCTCTTTGAGGAGTGCAGGTGTCCTCTAGCCAAAAACAAACAAAAGGCTGCACTTGTCCGAGGAGTTAGTAATAGTTTATTTCTGAGGGGAATAAGAGTGATTTTTATTTTTGCTAATATGTATTTTCTGATTTTTTAAAAATGAGCATGTATCGAGCCAGCAGGTGGCATGGTGGTTAAGGCGCTGGATCCCACATGGCTGGATCCCACCCCAAAGTTCAACTCCTGGACCTGGCAGGCTGAAAACATACCAGGTGCATGTGCATAGTGCCCAAAATCCCAAGAGGAGAAGGGATTGCGGCGTGGCCATGTCCCATGGGGGTGATTTCTCACTTTCCCTCTCTCTCTCTGTCTCTCTCCGGCAATTCTACACACCTTATGGCAAAAATCTAATAAATAAGTAAATAAATGAGTATGTATTACTTTTATGATAGAAACATTAAAAATATACTTTAATGTTTTATTATGGAAATTTAAAAATATACATAAGGTGGGGCCAGTGGGTGGTGTTGTGGTTGGGGTGCTGGACTCCCCACATGGCTAACTGTGGTTTGAGTCCCAGGTCCAGCAGCTTGAGACTCACACTGGCGTGTGTGTGCACGTGCGCGTGCATGTGTGCCCAAAATCCCAGGAGGAGAGTTGGGTAAAAGGGATTGCAGCATGGCTACCCCCCAGGGGATTTCTCACTTTCCATCCTCCCTGCCTTTCTGTCTCTCCCCAGTGAGTGCACGTGCCCTATGGCAAAAACCTTTAAAGAGTACACAAACATTATCAGTTTCAACACAGTTTGACACTTTCTACACAGATGCAACTCTAACTTTAATACTATGGGCTTTAAATATTTATTTCCTAAAATCTTGGAACCTCTGATTAGCCAATTTATTTTGTGGAAGTGTGTCCCATATGGCATAATTGACGATATTAGCCCTCATTGTTATCCCAGTCAGCCAAACTGGACTTAATTTCTATTAAAAAGAGATTTTTTAAAAAGATCTACTTACCGGGACCAGCAGTTGGCGTAATGGCTATGTCACTGGACTCTCATGTAGTTGTCCAGTTTTGAGTCCTGGAACCTGTGGCTTAGACTCATGCCGGGCGCGTGTGCGTGCGTGCCCAAGATCCTGAGAGGAGAATGGAGGAGAAGGGATTGCGGCGTGGCCATCCCCCCTGGGGGGTGATTTCTTGCTTTCTGTCTTTCTGTCTCTGTCTTTCTGGTGAGCGCATATAGCAAAAACCTCTAAAAATAAAAAATCTACTTACCAGCTGGCATGTGTGCCTGGCAGAAAGAGAAAGGAGGAGAGGGGAAAAGCACCGCTTTTGAGTGTGGTCCTGCCAAAATCTCTTCCCCTCCATTTCTCCATCTTGTTAGGATTTGGGCCATACACATGTGCCCTGTGTGTTTTTCTTTTTTCTTTTATTATTATAATAACAATTAGTAGTAGTCGTAGTAGTATTTTCGCCTTACATGTTTTTCAAGACACCAGGGCCAGGGTTCAAACAATGTGGTCAGCCATGTGGGATCCATCTTTTTTTTTTTTTTTGAGAGGTTTTTGCTATAGGGCATGTGTGCTCGCCAGAAAGACAGAGACAGACAGAAAGTGAGAAATCACCACCACCACCCCCTGGGGGCATGGCCATGTCACAATCTCTTCTCCATTCTCCTCTTGGGATCTTCGGCACGCATGCATATGCGCCCAGCGTGAGTTTAAGCCACTGGGTCTGGGACTCGAACCACGGTTGACTACATGGAAGTCCAGCAATGTAGCCATTACACCATCTGCTGGTCCCAAGCATCCATCTTTTTTAGTCAATAGGCCAAGGGCCAATTTGAGATAGTTTTTTGTTTTTAATTATTGTTGCACAGGTATGACAACTAGAAACCAGACAACTGGCCTTACTAGGTGCCACCCTCTGTTTATTGCCATTAGATCATACCTTGTCCTTTAGTCATACTTCTGCATGACCATCTAGAAATACACAGATCTCGGGCCCACTGGCGGTGTGGTGGTTAAGGCTCTGGACTCCCTCATGGCTGACTGTGGTTCGAGTTCCAGTCTCAGTGGCTTGAAAGTCACACCAGGCACATGTGTGGGTGCCCAAAATTCCAACAGGAGAATAGAAGGGATTGAGACAAGACCATCTGCCATGGGGAGGGGGATTTCTCATTCCTCCCCACCCCCCAGGGAGTGCACACCCTATGGCAAAACCTAACCAAACCAAACAAACGAACAAATAACCTTCACCCACCTCCCTCACACGCACCAGATCTCCTTGTTTCTTTGGGTCTTCATTTCTGAAGTCTCCTATGTCATGTATAAAGTTATGTTAAGGGGCCGGCAGGTGGTGTGGTGGTTAAAAGCGCTGGACTCCCACATAGCTGACCACGGTTCAAGTCCTGGACCTGGTGGCTTGCTTTCTCACTTTCCCTCTCTCTCTCTCTGTCTGATCAAACTGGAAAATAATAGTAAATAAAGTTAAATAATTCTTCAGAAAAAAGGTTATGTTCAATACATTTGTATGCTTTTCTCTTGTTAGTCTATCTTTTGTGACAGTCTCATCTATGAACCTTTCAACACGTGAGGAAGATGTTACGTATTCTGCCCTACAGGGCTTTCCTACAAGGGTGTCCGATAGTCTGAGCCTGAAGAGACGTGGGTTTTACAAACGCAATGTTACACGCCCACGGCCTGTCTTCACAAACTACTAGAAGTGAGGCCACCTCGCTCTGCTACCACACGCCATTCTCAACGGAACTCCGTGTAGGTGCCCTTAGACGTAAAGCCCCGAGTGGGTTCCCGGGGCCCAGACACCGGTAGTTCCGCCCTCTACGTGTTCCTTTACTTATGCCTATAGGTTTTTCCAGCCCGAAATCATAACCACAAAAACAGGACAGGTTAGACTAAGGTACGAATTTCTCCTGTACGGGAAAAGAGGAGGTGAGAAGAACTGGCTTGACATCTCCACTCAGCAGTGCGTTTGGGGGCAGATTGACTTCAGAAAAGATCGTGTATCAAATTTGGAAAAAAAAAACAATTCCCTTAAAATGATCTGCACCCAATTACCCCTTGGAAAAATCTTGTATCTGATGTTAAATGTAATCAGGCTGAATTAAGCCATTAAATATCATCAAGTCTTGAAATTTCTCAAGGAGTTGTTTTTCTCATTGCAAAAATAGTCTATTTCTTCAGTGAGAGTGAGAGACAAGTATCCTCAACAGGATTGTCACACCAGGCCCCAGCCCAGCCTCAGCCAGCCTGAATCGTGGTGCACCCGGTGTGACTAAGGCGGCTATGACACGGATGAGGGGCCTTGCCACATGGGTCCAGTTGGGCTATGACTGGCCCTGGGTTTTCTCACTTTGCTTACCCAGACACTGTCATCTTCCTTTAAAATAAGAAAGGCATCTTGGAATTTCTTTTTTAGATAATTTATTGTTAAATGAAGAAGTCACAAAGCAAAATGGGGTGGAACAAATGTCAAAGATAAATTTAAAACACGATATTCGTTGAACACTAGTCTGGATTTCCTAAGGTTAGAAACAGGAAAAATGTCAAATGAAAAGGTACTCACTTAAATTAGTTCTTCTTAAAAGGTCTGTGATTTGAAAGGAAAACAACTTTTCTCTGGAAATACAAATCATCCTTATTACATGACAGACATCATTTAAGAGACTGAGAAAAAAGGTTTTTAATTAGCAAATAAACTGTATCTTCCACATACACTTAGGAATGTTTGTTTTTAGTCAGCGAGTTTTCAACTCCCTGTTCCCACCTCGCAAGCGAACATGAACGGCCTATTAAGTAGCGTCCTCCGACACACACACTGCGGCCTTCACTGCTTCCTCTTCTGCAGCTTGCAGCGAAGCAGGTGAGAAGAGAAGAAATTCGCAAGAATACCGCGGGTTCCCTAGTGAATAACTGACAATCAAGCCTGCTTTTCCGTTTGCCTGACACATTCACAATTGCTCACTTCTACCTACTTTACTGATTCGTTGAGATCCTCTCCACACCTAGAATGATTTGCCCGCATTTAACACATTCCCCTTAAAACAAAAAATCTCCTAAAGGCGTCTCAAACCGCTGCTTTTCGGAGGCCATGTCCGCTCTGCTTCTCTCTCCCATTCCTGCCAAACTGCCCACGACACTGTTCAGAGCTCAACGAAGTGTCTCCACGGGGGCAGAGCAGAGCCTGGGAAATCTCTAACATAATTTTAAAATGGCATTTGCCAATTAAACAACAACATTGTGGAATCAGACAGAAATCCATCTTATCAACAAATGCCACCTGACCTGGTGCTCAGCTCATGAGTGAGGACACCATGGGGTCCCAGCACGCCCCTTGCACTGGGTCCCTGCCGAGCTTCACCCTGGCACACTTGGGGGCCCAGGAAGCCAAGTGCAGGCTCTGCCCAAGAGGCGTGTCCCGTTATCTGGGAGCACACAGACTGCACCTTGCTGTCTGAAGAGGACACCAGACACGGAGGCTCTACAGACCTCCCACCGACTTTAAATAGGGGCGATTACCATTGCACCTGCTTTCGCTGTAACAGAAGTCCCTGCTGTGGCAGTGCAGCCGCCGAGCTGTGGATCTGCTCTCAGCCCTGGCGGAAGACACTGGGACATCGCGGGACAGCGGGAGGCTGGGCTCACAACGGTGCAGCCCGCCAACACTTGACATCATCGGGAAATGCCTGTGGCTGGCTCTTCCCAGTGCGGGAAGGAAGAAGCCCTCTGCCACCTTCTTTACTGGAACACCCCAGGGATGGGCAAGAGCCTCTAGGAAAGAAGGGCTGGGGGTACAATGGGGTGGTGCGAGGCAGGGGAGCGGAGGCACCCTGGCCCGCTGCAGGCTCCCTTCCACAACATGGCAGGAGGGAGAAGCCGGCCACCACAGCCTGTGAACACAGCGGTGGCCCGAGACGCCCTCGTGCTTCTGCAGCCGTTTGGCTGACTCACATGATTTCTTTGGGCACCTCTTTCATTCACACCCAGCTCCAGGATGGCCACTTGCGCTGCATAGCGGTCTAAAAGACATGTAAGCCGTCATCACCGGGGTCGGGCTTTCCGGTCTGAACGTGACGTCACTCTCTATCCCAGATTCGCCTTCCCCTGGCCTTGGGGTGAGGGATGGGGGACAGATCTCCTTGCTTTTTAGATTAGACTGAAGGCACTGGCAGGATCCCTCTGCAATTCTGACACCGCGAAGTCCCAGCACAAGTCCATCCAGGCCCCTGGCACGATGAATCTGCTCACCAGGAACAGCTTCATCTGCCTCTTCCCGGTGGCAGCAGGCCTCGGGCATGACGGTCAGCTCCTGGCCTGTGTGGCAACTCCCCTTGTGGAGTTCCAAAAATCTTTTATCCGAAGCCTCCTTCAAACATGCCATTTCTCTCAATAGGGCCCTCCTCGACATTTGCCTTATGGGAAAAAAAGGGGAAGTATTTTGAAACCCCAAAACACCTGTTAGGAGAGTGACCCAAACCTGCGGAGACGTCAACCAGAGGCCCAGGGGACAGTGTCAAAGCCTGCATCCGCACCACCCTGGTAGAAAGAACTGGAACCAAAGTCCTGCTCCCCAGCTCGGCCACCTATTGACCTGACCTTCTTGAAGAAGGCGAGAATAGGGTTTTTTTTTTTTTTTAAAGGAAGGCATCTTATAGTGTGATTTGGGTTTTTCAATACCATGACGAAGATGTAGAGCATCCCAAGAGTGTTGGTTCACAGGGAATAGAGAGGAGGGCGGAAATAGAAAATGGGATGGACCGCCGCTCTCCACAGACTGACCCCATGTGGGTGTCACGATGCAGTGAATGAGCACCGCTTTTGTAGCAGTGAAGACATTCGTGGCTGAAATTTTGGAAAACTCACTTTTTCCATCCCAGGGATTTTTCCCATGCTCTTCTTTGGACCAATTGACCAGTGGAAGAAAAGGTTTCCCCTCCTTTTCCCTCGCTATTGTAAACCGTTGCCATTTTCCCTTCCTCTCTAGCCATCTCTTCATTTTCTTCTCAGACTGAGAATTTGGAGAGACTACACAGCAGCAAACCAGAAAACAACCTGAAAATTCAAAACCCAAGCCCAAAGATCTCAGTAACTATAAGATGCAGATTTTTTTTTCTTCCCCAGGCTGGGCTTGGAGGTGTCCCTAGCGTAGACTCCTGTGGGGCTGGAATGACAGTGGGAGGGCAGCGGTGCCCAACATGGCCAGGGAGGTCTGGGGACCAGGGCGGCTGAGAGCTGGTCCGGCCCCAGCCCAGCCTGCCCGATCAGCATTCATCCGAGAGGTAATCGCTGCCCAGGAACTCCGTGGCTTCCAGCTCCACGCTGGACAGAAACCTCCTCAGCGTCTTGCGGCAGTTGTAATCCAGGGTGGTGGTGTAGACGGTCTTGGGGTACTTGGGGTAGACGATGGTGGTGCTGAGGAAGCGTGTGGGCTTGTGGCGTGGCTCGAAGCGCACCTCGGCCTTGTAGCTGCGCCACGTGCAGTTGGGGACGCAGGTGACCGTCTGGCTGCAGGAGGCCACTGCTAGGCCCAGTGGCAGCTGCACGTCATTGATGAAGTGTCGCTCGGAGTCGTACTTGACCGAGGACGTGTACCTGGGCGGGAGACACAAGGCAGCATGAAGCCGCTCCTCTGAGCTGGGCCACTCGGGTCCCCGCTGTGACCGTGACTCTCCTGTGGGTGCCAACACTGAGGTGTGGCTCTCCTAGGGAGAAGTAGCATGGAGTTATGAACTACTTCCCGTGCGCTGGGGACTCTCTTCAGCAATCTCCCCACAGGAGCTAACGCAATCTTCCCAGCGCCCCTTGGAGGGGAAACAGGTGCGGGAGATGAAGACAGCAGTGCTGCTGCCGGGGGTGGGGTGGGGCTGGATGCAAACGCAGGCCAGGACTCTGTCCCCACACTAACCAGCCCGGGCTCTGCTCCACTGACTTAGGCTAAGACCTTGGTCAAGCTCCTTAGTTCGAAGCTTAGTTTCCTCCTCTGTGAAGGAGCACTGGACACAGTGGTGACAGTGTCATTGCTAGTGCTGGCAGCACCATTATGACATGAGGACGGCTCTGCTGCAATTGAGGGCTGAGCCGGTTCTCTGTCCCTTCACGTGATCGATCAGCTCTTGAAGAAGATGAAGAATCTAGAAACCCTGAGAGCTTGGTTATCCTGGCCAAGCACTAGTACGTGGCCTACGCTGGCCTTGGGTGGAGATCCCCCTCCACACTCTACACCCTTGGACTCAGGGACCTGACCTTCTCCATAAAGATAATTATAATCTGGAGTTCCATGAAAGAAATGAATATCCATGTTCCTCAGTCAACTTTGTTTTTTTTAAGTCCTTCTTTGGGAGTTTTTCTTTTTCTTTTTTTTTTTAATTTTCATTTAATTTTGTCTATTTATTTTAATTTGACCAGAGAGGGACAGAGTAGGGGAGAGAAGAGAGAGAGAGAGGGAAACTGAGAAAGCAAGCTGTGAGATCCGGGACTTGAACCATGGTCAGCCATGTGGGAGCCGCCTTGTAGCTGCGCCACGTGCAGTTGGGGACGCAGGTGACCGTCTGGCTGCAGGAGGCCACTGCTAGGCCCAGTGGCAGCTGCACGTCATTGATGAAGTGTCGCTCGGAGTCGTACTTGACCGAGGACGTGTACCTGGGCGGGAGACACAAGGCAGCATGAAGCCGCTCCTCTGAGCTGGGCCACTCGGGTCCCCGCTGTGACCGTGACTCTCCTGTGGGTGCCAACACTGAGGTGTGGCTCTCCTAGGGAGAAGTAGCATGGAGTTATGAACTACTTCCCGTGCGCTGGGGACTCTCTTCAGCAATCTCCCCACAGGAGCTAACGCAATCTTCCCAGCGCCCCTTGGAGGGGAAACAGGTGCGGGAGATGAAGACAGCAGTGCTGCTGCCGGGGGTGGGGTGGGGCTGGATGCAAACGCAGGCCAGGACTCTGTCCCCACACTAACCAGCCCGGGCTCTGCTCCACTGACTTAGGCTAAGACCTTGGTCAAGCTCCTTAGTTCGAAGCTTAGTTTCCTCCTCTGTGAAGGAGCACTGGACACAGTGGTGACAGTGTCATTGCTAGTGCTGGCAGCACCATTATGACATGAGGACGGCTCTGCTGCAATTGAGGGCTGAGCCGGTTCTCTGTCCCTTCACGTGATCGATCAGCTCTTGAAGAAGATGAAGAATCTAGAAACCCTGAGAGCTTGGTTATCCTGGCCAAGCACTAGTACGTGGCCTACGCTGGCCTTGGGTGGAGATCCCCCTCCACACTCTACACCCTTGGACTCAGGGACCTGACCTTCTCCATAAAGATAATTATAATCTGGAGTTCCATGAAAGAAATGAATATCCATGTTCCTCAGTCAACTTTGTTTTTTTTAAGTCCTTCTTTGGGAGTTTTTCTTTTTCTTTTTTTTTTTAATTTTCATTTAATTTTGTCTATTTATTTTAATTTGACCAGAGAGGGACAGAGTAGGGGAGAGAAGAGAGAGAGAGAGGGAAACTGAGAAAGCAAGCTGTGAGATCCGGGACTTGAACCATGGTCAGCCATGTGGGAGCCCAGTGCCCTTAACCACCACACCATCTGTTGGACCCTATTTATTTGTTTTATTTTAAAAATTTGCGACAGGGTATAAGCCTTTGCTAGAGACACAGAGAAAGAAAGAGAGAAGGAAAGTAAGAAATCACCCCACACATCCTAGAGGGGGATGGCCACGTTGTAATACCTTCTCCTCCACTCTCCTCTCTAGAGAGATAGAAAGCGAGAAATCACCCCCCAGGGGGATGGCCACGCTGCATTCTCGTCTCCTCCATTCTCCTCTTGGGATCTGGGGCATGCATATACACGTGCCGTGTGAGTTTAAGCCACTGGGTCCTGGACGCGAACCGCGGTCGACTACATGGGAGTCCAGCGACATAGTCATTACGCTAACTGCAGGTCCCGAGTTGATATTTTTACAGAAGCAAACGTGAGTGCGTCTTACTGCATTATTACTGCACCTTCATAGATGTAAGCTGTGCATGAGCATCGCGTATCAGCACCCCACAGCCTCTAGCCGCCAAGGCGAGTGCAACTGGCGTTCTTGCTGTGAATCGATGGAAACCTCTCCTCTCCTTCAGCAAGTCGTTATGAGGCTGGTGGAAGCGAATGTCATGAGTCATGTCCCTAATTTGTTGAAAATACAAGCTCCACAGGAATAAAAGGCTCTGCTGCTCACCTCCAAACTGGTGAGCCTCTCTTTGTTCCACCTCAAAGGACCCTTTGTGCTAATGCAACTAAAACTCCAGCTATCAAACCACCAGTTTCCAAATAAAATTCCTTGCTCTAAAAAGACCGATCTGTAATGGAGGCTCCCAGTGCATCTTTGCCCCCATATTATCCTGGAGGAGACGATTCCTAAAGGAAGACTGGTCCTTGCCCAGGCAAACACTAACGTGGAACAAGCTTGTGGTCCTTTGAAGAGGGACTGAGGACAGTGAGAGTGGAGGTGTGGGAGCAACTTCTGGAAAGAGGGATTAATATTTAAAATTTTAAATATCTGATGGCCATCATGTGTGAACTGTAAAAAGCAATGTACAGAACTTCATTTATCATGTAATCTCATTGTTAAGTGTATGTCAAAAGACACACACACACACACACACACACACACACACAGGACTAGCAGTTGGCATAATGGCTATGTCACTGGACTTCCATGTAGTTGACCGTGGTTCAAGTACTGGACCTAGTGGCTTAAACTCACGCCGGGCGCATATGCATGTGTGCCCAAGATCCCAAGAGGAGAATGAAGGAGAAGGGATTGCAGGGTGGCCATCCCTCCTGGGGGGTGATGTCTCGCTTTCTGTCTCTCTGTCTCTCTCTGTCTTCCTGGCGAGCGCATGCACCCTATAGCAAAAACTTCTCCAAAAAAAAAAAAACACCACCACACACACACATATCTGCATCAATATATATTTTTAAACTTTCCAGAGGGCATGTGCACTTGCTGGAGAGAGACAGAGAGAGAGGGAAAGTGAGAAAGCACCCTCCCCAACCCCCCAACTGGGGATGGTCTTTCCACAATCCCTTCTCCTTCATTTTTCTTCGTGAGATTTTTGGGCATGCAAGCACACACATCTAGCATGTTTTTCAAGCTGCTGGGTCAGGGACTTGAACCATGCAGTCAGTCACATGGGATTCAGCTGCCCTAACCACCACATCACCAGTTGCTCAATACAGAATGCAGAAAAAATATCTAAAAGTGTACCTATGAAATTATTAATAGTCTTTGGCATACTTCTGCAATTAGCTATTTTTTAAAATAACAAACATTAATGTCTGGAATAAAAATACAAAAAATTTAAAAGTAAAACCAGGGGGGCCAGCAAGGGGCATGGTGGCTGGGGTGCTAGACTCCCACGTGGCCCATCACAGTTCATGTCCCAGACCTGGCAGCTTGCTTTCTCACTTTCCCTCTCTATCTCTCTCTCTAGTCAACTTAAAAAATAATAACAAATGGAACTAAAGAAAGATGAAAGAAAGAAAGAAAGAAAGAAAGAAAGAGAGAGAGAGAGAGAGAGAAAGAAAGAAAAGAAAAGAAAAGAAAAGAAAAGAAAAGAAAAGAAAAGAAAAGGAAAGGAAGAATTCTTTAACCAAAAACAAAACAAAAGAAAAGTCCAACCAGGGCCTGCAGTACGTACCTTACTTCCTTTGGTGGTAAAGGGTCAAACTCCACTCCCTCGCCAAAGGACAGAGGGCATAACTTCGGCGAGCAACCGGAGGCCAGGGCGTTGGGGAGAGATGCTGGAGCCTTCAGGGACAGAGAAGAACACAGTTAGAGCCACCAGAGGCTGGTGTGATGCATCCCTCACAGAAGGCCAGGCTGGCATGAGCCTCCAGCCGGTGTCCTGGCTGTGCCAAGGCCCTCATCCTGGCCATGCCAGAGCAGGGCTAATCCCCAGCCTGGGATGAGCACTGGACAGAGAGCCAAGAGTGCAAGCCCCAGGTCTATCCCGAACGTGCTGTGTACCCTCAGAAGAGTCATGTCACGTGCCCTGTGACCTTATCTGCACACCATGGAGAGGCACCCCCTCCCATGGCTGAGGTGGTGGTGGTGTTGTTGTTGAGAGGGTTTTTTTTTTTTTTGCTATAGGGTGCGTGCACTCGCCAGACAGAGAGAGACAGAGAGACAGAAAGCGAGAAATCACCCCCCAGGGGGGATGGCCACGCCGCAGTCCCTTCTCCTCCATTCTCCTCTCGGAATCTTGGGCATGCATGCACACGCGCCTGGCGTGAGTTTAAGCCACCGGGTCCGGGACTCGAATCACAATCAACTACATGGGAGTTCAGCGACATAGCCATTATGCTAACTGCTGGTCCCCTATCACTGAGGTTTTTGAAAGGACACGAGAGAAGCAGCGAGCCGGAGTCAGCATAGTAATGGTGGCCGCCCTGGGCTGCTGCACCATCTGTCAGTCACACAGCAACAAAACGTCCAGGAACTGGAACTTAACTAAGCCATCTGTCACTGCCGTGGCACCCTCTCTGTCACCGTCTCAGAAACATCCTAGAAAAGGCCAAACTCGAAAAGCTACCTGGGATTATTTGAAGATTCAGTCTAGGGGCCCAGACAGTGGCACAGCGGGAAAACACGATGCTTCCCCAGGGGAGAATTCTGGGTTTGAGGCCAGAGACCTCCCTGAGACCAGCCTGTGAGTCATGATCTTGGGTTGGCTGAGGCTGGGGGTGGACTGTGGGGTCGAAGTCCTGCAGGGGGTGCTGTTTCTCTGTGTCTCTCACTCTCACTCATGCTCGTGAAAGAAACTTAAAAAAAAAAAGATTCAGTTCAACTTGCCCCACCTCCTCTGCCTCTGGGACCCACAGATCAACACCCATCCAAGGGGGACTCCTGCACTCTCAGAGTTCCGCTGGTGAGATGAACACCTCGATGCTCTTCACAGCCCTCTCCACTGCCAGGAAACTTGATGACCCAGGGCTTGACACACCCAGGCTAACTGTCCCCCAGCCCTCAGCGCACTGGGTTCTCTGATTCACCAAGGAGACGCATTAAGAGCAGGTAAATCCCTCACCCAGGTGCCGGCAGCTGTCACCTGGCTTGCCAAACTCAGGCTTCCACGTTAAGGGTGCAGAGATACACACAGGGCCAGTCTGAACCCGGCGGCCCTTTCTGCTCCCTGGACTACTGGGGATCTGTCATTTTCTTCGACTAATTTGAGAGAAGGATCCACACTCAGGCCAGGGTGTGGAAGTGGCAGCCCCGCCCACATCTTCCAGGACCAAAAGGAGGCAAACATTTCTAGGAGGTTTGTGTGGAGACCTTTTACCATGTTTCCAGGACAAAGTGTTACATGGGGAGTAGGGTGGAAATGCAAAAGCCAGAAGGGACCAGGAGAGGGAGAGGCAGGGGTCCTGAGGGCCAGTTCCTGACTTGGTGGCCCGGTTAGTGAGCCCAGGCTGGAGGAGGGGCTTTGGTGAGAAGCAGGGTCTGTGTGGAGGAGGCGGTGCACGAGTTGTGGATACTAGCTGCTGCAGAGCTTCTGGAAACAGCCTCCAGAGCATGACGCAGGCCTGCCCTGTCCTTGCTTTCCGGCTGCCTGACACCCCCAGCAGCAGGGGCACCTCCCAGACGGTCCTGGGGGCTGCATAGAGACATGCCACAAGCAGGTGGGTGACTCTCTGACACTCACATCATGGCTTTTTGCCAGGGATCCACCAAGCACTGAGTTCTCTGGCCCCTGGCTTCTCTGCTCTCCCACCCTTGCCCATCCAGCAGACTCCCTGGGCACCCGCCTTGCTTTACGCAGGCTGGAATGGGGCCGCAGGGGTTCGACAGTCCATGAAAACGAAGTGACACTGGGGGATGGGGAGGCCCTGGGGTGACATGAGTTGGCACTGAGAGATGACAGGACTCTAAGGGAAAGGTACATGTGAGGGAGGGGGAAGTATGGGGGTGGCCACTGTGTGTGTCTGGCCTGTGCTCAGGGCAGGGCAGGATGAGGCTAGAAAGGGCCAGAGGAGGAGGGCTCTGAAGGCCTGAGGTTGGGGAAGTCGGCTTTGGAATGGAGATGGGGAAGGCCACTGGTGCCCACCAGGAGAAAGGGTCAGTGGAGAACACCAGGCACCACCCAAGCTTCAGCATGGGTCGTTAAGAACACCAGCTGCCGGGGCCAGCAGATGGCATAGCAGTTAAATCGCTGGACTCCCACACGGCGGATCATGGTTGGAGTCCTGGACCTGGCAGCTTGAAAAATCACCAAAGGTGCACATACATGCATGCCCACAATCCTGGGAGGAGAAGGGATTGCCGTGGCCATCCTCCCTTTCCCTCTCACTGTCTCTGTGTCTCTCTTGGGTGAACTCTGTGCCCTAAGGCAAAAAAGAAAAAAAACACTGGAAAAAAAAGCCCAAGCAAACAACAACAAAAAACACAGCAGCTGCCATTGCCTCCTTCACCGGAGGGGAGCAGCTATAAATACCCATGCTGGGGATCAGCAGATGGCATAATGGTTATGTCGCTGAACTCCTACATAGTCGACCTCAGTTCAAGCCCCTGACCCTGCGGCTTAAATTCACTCTGGGTTCCTGTGCCTGCATGCCCAACATTCCAAGAGGAGAATGGAGGTGAAAGGATTGGGGCATGGTCATCCTCCCTGAAGGGCGACTTCTCGCTTTCTGTCTGTCTCTCTTTCTCTCCAGCGAGCACGTGCCCTATAGCAAAAATCTCTAAAACAAAAAGAAACAGCTCAGGTGAAAGCGCTGGCGGGTGCCGAGAGCTCACTGTGAGCTTTGCAGGCAGGATGTGGCATCCCCTGAGCTCTCGGGACAGGAAGCAAACACTAACATCTGAGGCATTCCTCAGGCAAAACAGACTTGCTTAAGTTTCTCTTCTTTATTGGGGATCCTAGCTGCTGCAGAGCTTCTGGAAACAGCCTCCAGAGCATGACGCAGGCCTGCCCTGTCCTTGCTTTCCGGCTGCCTGACACCCCCAGCAGCAGGGGCACCTCCCAGACGGTCCTGGGGGCTGCATAGAGACATGCCACAAGCAGGTGGGTGACTCTCTGACACTCACATCATGGCTTTTTGCCAGGGATCCACCAAGCACTGAGTTCTCTGGCCCCTGGCTTCTCTGCTCTCCCACCCTTGCCCATCCAGCAGACTCCCTGGGCACCCGCCTTGCTTTACGCAGGCTGGAATGGGGCCGCAGGGGTTCGACAGTCCATGAAAACGAAGTGACACTGGGGGATGGGGAGGCCCTGGGGTGACATGAGTTGGCACTGAGAGATGACAGGACTCTAAGGGAAAGGTACATGTGAGGGAGGGGGAAGTATGGGGGTGGCCACTGTGTGTGTCTGGCCTGTGCTCAGGGCAGGGCAGGATGAGGCTAGAAAGGGCCAGAGGAGGAGGGCTCTGAAGGCCTGAGGTTGGGGAAGTCGGCTTTGGAATGGAGATGGGGAAGGCCACTGGTGCCCACCAGGAGAAAGGGTCAGTGGAGAACACCAGGCACCACCCAAGCTTCAGCATGGGTCGTTAAGAACACCAGCTGCCGGGGCCAGCAGATGGCATAGCAGTTAAATCGCTGGACTCCCACACGGCGGATCATGGTTGGAGTCCTGGACCTGGCAGCTTGAAAAATCACCAAAGGTGCACATACATGCATGCCCACAATCCTGGGAGGAGAAGGGATTGCCGTGGCCATCCTCCCTTTCCCTCTCACTGTCTCTGTGTCTCTCTTGGGTGAACTCTGTGCCCTAAGGCAAAAAAGAAAAAAAACACTGGAAAAAAAAGCCCAAGCAAACAACAACAAAAAACACAGCAGCTGCCATTGCCTCCTTCACCGGAGGGGAGCAGCTATAAATACCCATGCTGGGGATCAGCAGATGGCATAATGGTTATGTCGCTGAACTCCTACATAGTCGACCTCAGTTCAAGCCCCTGACCCTGCGGCTTAAATTCACTCTGGGTTCCTGTGCCTGCATGCCCAACATTCCAAGAGGAGAATGGAGGTGAAAGGATTGGGGCATGGTCATCCTCCCTGAAGGGCGACTTCTCGCTTTCTGTCTGTCTCTCTTTCTCTCCAGCGAGCACGTGCCCTATAGCAAAAATCTCTAAAACAAAAAGAAACAGCTCAGGTGAAAGCGCTGGCGGGTGCCGAGAGCTCACTGTGAGCTTTGCAGGCAGGATGTGGCATCCCCTGAGCTCTCGGGACAGGAAGCAAACACTAACATCTGAGGCATTCCTCAGGCAAAACAGACTTGCTTAAGTTTCTCTTCTTTAAATAAAACAATTTTAAATAAAAGAAAAGGATTAATCTTTAAAAAGTTCCACCCACCGAAAGGCCTCCCACCTACTACGTGCAGAACCTGGGTTAGGTGTTCAGGACAAGCGGGACCACCACAAGCCAGAGGCTCACGAACAACCCTTCTCAAAAGGTCTCCGAAAATCGACCCCGCCGGCTCTCCGAATCCGGGATCCCGGAGTGCACCCTCTCCCTGGGACCAGCCAGGAGCAGCCTCCCTCCCCAGTCCCCCGGGAGCGGGCACAGCTGCGGGGTGTCGGGCCCACAGCCCAGGCAGGGCTGGGATTCCCCTTGGGTGTCCCGGGAGCCCCACCCGTGGTTGCCGGGGCGCCCCCCCCCGCCGAGCCCGGGCAGGAATGTGGCTGTGCCGCAGCCTGGCAGCCCCGGGGGCCGCCACCCCGAAGGGAGGAGACGGCCGCCCGCCTCCCCCGGGGCTCCCGCGCCTCCCAGGCGATGACAATTTTCCAGCCACCGGCTCCAGCTGGCCAGGTTTCGCTGCGCTCCCGCCCCAGGCTCCCAGCGATGGCCACACCGTCCCGACCGGCGGGGGGGGGGGGCCCAAC